CATTCATATCACCCATCAGGATTCTGATATTGCCATTTGGAATGTTGTCCATTACTGTTTGTAGTTGTCTGTAGGACGCCTCCTTCTTCTCTTGTTCTGAGACGTTTGTAGGCGCATAGCATTGGATGATTGTAACCTTCCTTCCCTTTGAGTTGAACCTGGCTGTCATTATCCTGGAGGAGATTGGTTCCCACTGCATGAGAGCTTTGGCTGCTGTTGGTGACATCATGATGGCCACTCCCTCGGTGTGTTCGTGATTGTCCTCTGGGTAGCCGGAATGGATTACTGTCTCTCCTGTTGGTAGTTGGGACCTACTACATCCGTTCCATCTGCTCTCGCAGATTCCCAGTACTTCTATTCTATATCTCCTCATTTCTGCGGCTACCTGGTCAGCCTTACCAGTCGGCTTCGTACATTGTACGAACATTCCACGTCCCCATCCTAATTTTTGCTTTCATCGAAAGAAGGCACAGAGGCTGACTGGCTTCCTGAAATCTTTCACCAGTCTGCGTCATTTCAGTCCCCCGCTTCCAGCGAAAAATAAGGTTATTGTTTATATTTTTGGAATTTTTATTATATTTATGCGTTGAAGTTTCTGTAGCAGTTTGGTTAAGTTTCGGGGGTGGAGTTTCTAGCACCACGCCCCAACCCTCCCTCTTTATCCGAGCTTGGGGCCGGCTAGAAAACTAGCTCGCTAGTTTTCTAGGCGAGGTTAACTTTCTAACCATGATCAACTATAAGTAAGCATCAGAAATTAATAAACTTTCAGATGGAATTGAAGAATGTTCAGTGGTCCACATTGAAAACCTCAATGAAGCCACTGAAGTCAATGCAGGAGTAAAGCAAGGCTGGCTGCCTATTATCTCCGATGATATTCCTAATTGGGATGGACTGGATCATGAGACAGATCGTAAAGGGAAGGTAGGGAGACAGGAATACGTTGGACTCGAGACGATTCAGACTTCGCTGATGATTTATGTCTAATGTCACACAAACTCGCATGTCTACAGATAAAAACCAACGAGTTGGCAGAAGAGGCTGTTAGTGAAGACAGGAATTCAAATGAGTGCAGAGAAGACGGAGGGGATGTAAATAACAAAATAACAACAACTGGCACCAATCAGTATCAGCGGGAGAAATTTGAAATTGGTTACTTCTTCCACTTATCTAGGCATCGTCATTTGAACCACAGGTGACTGTATGGATGAGGTTGTCAAAGGGGGTCAGCATTGGAAAGGCGAGAAGGACCTTCATCACTCTGAAATCAGTTTGAAAACCTAATTCATTTGACAAAAACAGCAAAATTTGGATTTTCAACACCAGTGTCAAGTCAGTCATTTCTTCTACATGGATCAGAGACTTAGCCTGAGTGTCAAGAGAAGCATTTTCAACAGTTCACCATAGACTTGCATAGACAGCTACCTTCTCTCATCCCATAGAGAAGATCAGATGGTGTTAATCGCGATAGATAGATAGATAAATAGATTGACGGACAGCTAATCGATATATGTGACCCTTTGTCGCGATTATTGGCTAATTTAATGTAACTCTCACCACGTGATGTGACCTTGAATGTTGTTTATTTCCTCTATGGTGTGTATATGTAACTAATTAACTGTTCATTTTGTCTGTTCCTTTAATACTGTTCGGTAAGTTTTTGTCTTTTCTTGAGTTACAATGGATTTGTGCCTTTCTTGGTGTAATTGTACGCTTTATTTTATGTTTTAGAAACAGATAAAGTTTAAGTCAAGTAACTCTGTTTTTAACTGTATTTAAGGCAAGACTCTGTGTCGTCAGTACTGAGGAAGGACTAAATCTGTAGGCAAAACTAATCCTACAGATGGCTAGTTAGCCGAAAAAGATTAGCAACAAGAATCTTTGGCAGTGAATGAACCAAAGAAGAACCTATTACTCAACAAAATCCCGAAGGAAACGGGCATGGATCGGACACATTCTGAGGAGACTGTTAAATGATATGGAGCGACAGGCCAATTGAAACCCGAATGGGAAACACTGAGTTTGGTGTGTGTCCTAGCGGGACATGGAGGAGACATATGAGGAGGAGATGACAGCCTCTGGCGAATCGTGGAGCCAGATGTAAAGGACAGGAGAGTAGGGGACGAAGCGGAGATGTGGTGTTGAAGCCGTATGCTTCGCTCGTGATCCATGGGAATCATAATAATTATGAGTATATTTAAATTATCATGTTCCTAATCTCAGTATCTTATATTACGTTTCATGAACTGATATTGGTTACAGAATCCTGAAAAACTGAGCAGAGCTGGCTGGTTGGCTGTCTGATCATTCTATTGTAGCTTGGAGTTCTTCAGCCTCCATGATTTTACCAGAGATCAGACCTGGAATTTTTCAGTTACCAGAAGAGCCACTGTGAATCAGAATCCAATGTTCCATGAATTCCAACTACTGTCAATTCACGTTGTAGCAACAAAGTCAGATAGTGTTACTGATTAGCAACATAAGCTAAACACCTGACACACTGCATCCCACTGTTTTCAGTTTCTACTCGGGACTAGAAATAAACAGCTAGCTGTTCAGTGCACATTGGTTTTCAATAATTCCCTGATAGAAGGATTCCCTGATGAGGAAGTCTGTATTCATATCAGTTAAAGTGACTACAAGCTTAAATGTGTATGTTTGTATTGCTTTTATTCTCTGGTACTCTTTCATATTACTTTCAATTTAATGAAGAGTCCCAAACTAGGCTGACGAAACAGCTGTCCAGTAATTCAAGGCTTTCCAGTGGTTATCTGACTGAAGTCAGCTCATGATGAAGTCCTCCAACCCGTCAAAATAAATCCCTACAAAAACCAGTACTTGAAAATCGCCTTGATTCTCACTAGCGACTGGCCGTATTCAGGCAACTATCCTGAGGTTCTAGTGGGAGCACGTGACCAGTAGGGTGCAGCAGGTTGGAGGTGAGCCAGTAACTCGTCGAAGAAGACATTTCAAAGTGGTCACGCTATGTCATGAATTGGCAGAAGTTATAATTCATGGACTGGTCATTGGGTCGTGCCCCATTGGCCTTATGGTCTACTAGCTAACTCACTTTGTAACCAGAAGGCCATGGGTTCGAACCATAGTTAGTTGGTGCGTACTGCTGATGTGCCCCAAACTAGGCTGACCAAACAGCTGTCCAGTACTCCTTGGTGGATTTCCAGTGTTTCTCTAACTGATGTTAGCTCATGTTAAAATCTTCCAACTTCTTTGGTCTGTATGCAATCGAGCTGATGAGAAGCCAACGAAACAAACACTGTGGGTGGTACTGTGGTGGTGGGATACAGACAGGGTGTTCCAACGGAATATAATTCTCAATACTGCATTAGCGATGTAATAAAATATGTATTTAAGCATTCTACTTAGTGTAATTTAATGTTAACCGAAATCACACGCTCAATGATTGGTTAGAGAATATAAACTGTATGTAAATATAAATGGCGGTTTGACCAGTTGAAAATATACTTTGGCTTCCATGTCTTGACTTATGCTGTTAGATGTAATGTCGCGAGAAATGGAAAGCTTGTGTCCTGCAGTTTTTTAAGAAGGAGCTATCAATCTTCTTGCAAGGCTTCGAGGTTGTTGCGGAGTTGAGTGGCATTCAAGATCCGTCAGCAATGCGGCTGTTACTTGGAGTGCTGCTGGGAGGTCAGGCGAAGGCAGCATATATTGTTGTGAGGTGAAACACTGGTGAATCCGCGCCACTGTCATTCAAACTGCTACCAAATTGGGAAGGACTATACATGGTCACCATGAGACGGGATCACGTATGTGCGGTCAGAAATGCAAAACAAAGATGAGCGGGTGAATGTCAGCGGGCTCCACAATTCGATACAGCAAGACAAGCTAAAAAGACCGCAAGCACCAAGAAGGTCGAACCGACTTCACTCGAAAGTATTTGACGGGGGGGGGGAGGACAAGTGTGATGGTGTGATACAGACAGTGTGTTCCAACGGAATATGGTTCTTACATATTCTCAGAGTTCAATACTACATTAGCAAGAGAATACGATATATCTGTTTGAACATTCTATTTCATGTCATTTAATGTAAATCGAGACCACACGCTCAGTGATTGGTCAACGAATATAAACTGTATGTATATAAATGGCGGTTAAATCACTTGAAAATATAGAGTTACTACCCTATCTTGTCGATATGTATCCACATAATATGTGTGTTTGTTTGACATTCTGTTATATTTTGCTATGTATATATGGATTGATATTCCATTATAATTAGCCAATCATGTTAAGACTGTCTATTGATTTGTTCATTTTGAATATTCGCTCACACACTTGTGTTGACACACTTGTTCGGACATTCTTACATATTTTATGCTCTCACACTCTTGTGTGACATATTGATTCTCCTTGTGGTTTGGAAAATAGAAGTATCATCGCAAACCTAGTGGTCTTCTGATTTCCGTCTTTCTTGCGTTAGGACTATTAAATTCTCGACCAGTACATAACACTTGCCTTGTGTTGTTGAAGTACCATATTATTTTGCAAAAACCGCTGTTGTTCTTGTTTTATTCATGTTGGAAGCTTTACTAATCTTTTCACTGGATTTAAAAGAAATATAAATAAATAAATAAATGTTCATCTTGTTCAAGATTAAGCGAAATCTGGTTGCTAAGCTACAGTTTTGATGTTCACTTAAGAAATGTTCAGCATGAAATAATAATTAAAAGACAAACTTTAATTATTAATTTTTACAGAATATTGAATAGATAGATTCCATTTTTAACATTAATATTTCAAGATTATCAAAATTAAATGTAAGTAGGTAATATACCAGATTGTTTATGAGATGTTTATCACTTGTTGCCTAGTTACCACTGTGTAAAATCAAATAACGATTTAGGCTTTCAGGATATAATGCAAATGTTTGGGAGTATGTAAAATGTATTTCTTTTGGTTAATAAAATCACAGGTGCAAACCAGTTTTGCCTTTAATATACAGGACAAGAATTTAGCCTCTGTGGTAGGATTTAATTTCATATTTTGTAGGTTTATCTGATATAAAACACACGTCGCATGGTATTGCATCATTTCTATATTATATCCAGTAAAAATGACACAAGACCAGTTACGGATATATGGAACATTGCAATGGTAAGCAACATAAATAATAGAGAAGATTTGTAACTCAGTTTTGTTGTGTTCTCTGAGCTGGTTCGTGTAATTGCGAAGCTTTTGTCGTCCTTCTGGACAACATCTTCCTTCAGCGCAAGTTTCAGACTAAAAAACTCATTCAACTGTTAGTTTGTAGGGATTTGATTAGACGAAACAGCTGTTCAGTACTATCAAGTTTTCCAATGGTTCTCTAATCAATGTCAGCTCATCATGGGATCCTGTAACCAATCAAATCCCTATAAACCAACACTTGAATATCACTAGCGACTTACCTTATTCAGGTAGGTATTTATCTGGGGTTCTAGTTAGAAGTCGTGATTAGTAGGGTGAAGCAGGTTGCGTGGGAAGACGAATACTCGCCGAAGACATTGGCTAAAGGTCACGCTATGTCGTAAATTCGCAGAAGTTAGAATTCATGGATTGGTCATTGGATCGAGTCCCCTGTGACTGCTGAATGGTCTACGAGCTAGCTCATCTTGTCACCAGAAGGTACTGGGTTAGAACCCCGATTGGTGCTGCTGAAGAGTCCCAAACTAGGCTGACGAAACAGCTGTTCAGTACTCTCAGCAGGTTTTCTAATGGTTCTCTAACTGATGTCAGCTCATGATGAAATCCTGTAAAATGAACACATTTTGAATTCTCCATGAATGATAGAATTGTGTCTCTTGGCAACCATCTTCATGACTGGTAGTTGATTTACATCTGTGTTATTGATTTGGATTTTGAACTATAGTAGCCATAAACCAATTACCCACAAAAGAAATTGTGTGCATACATTGTTTAAGAGAGTTCAAACACACTGTGACATTCCAGTGTGGAAGAGAATAGAAGAAAAATACCTACTAACAGTCTTCAAAAAGAATGAATATCTTCCTCATAATTTCATCAAAAAATGTTAAAACTCGAGTCAAAACACCTACAAGAAACCATCATGAAAGACTACAAGAAAATTCATCCTACCACATATCAGAAAAAATATCTCTGAAATAACAGTTAAAATATTGAAACCATTCGAAAAAGATATAGCACAAAAGCCAGTCAGCCAGCACAATCACTTCATTCGATATTGTGCAAACCGAAAGATCTGACAGAGAAAGAAGATAAAATTAGTACCATTTACAAAATAAATTGTATGAACTGTAACAGGCATTACATCGGCCAAAGTGGGCATCCCCTTCGAATCAGAATCCAGGAACACAAATCAGCCGTGAAAACATATGATATGTATTCTTTCATATCAATGCATGTAGATAATTATGGACACCAATTTGATGATTGGGATAATGTCGAAATTTTAGACAGAGGAAACACCAAAAGTGCCAGATAACTCTTAAAAGCCTGGTACTCAAGTGAATTAACGATTAACAAAAATATTAATATAGACCAAATTTATTAACTAATAAAAAGTAAATCATGTGACCAGAAAGTTTAGAATCCAAGTCAATAGAAAATGATCAATACAGATGTCAAGATGGTTACCGGGGGACGCAATTCTATCACTCACGGAAAATTTAAATAAGTTCACTTTATGCAAAAACTTGCACTGAGGGAAGATGTTGTCCAGATGGACGACGAAAGCTTCGCAATTACATGAACCACCTCAGAGAACACAACTAATTGTAAACAAGAGAAAGTTTAAAACTACACAGAACAGGTTAAGAAATCGTGAAAATCCGTTGATGTAATTGAAACGGTAGTATACAATAGCAGTTGGTAACAGAATCGTTCATTTGATAAAATGATATTCAGTGATAGTGAAATATAAAAATACTACATTGAAACTTCTGTCCAGTTTTGTTTACATTTCATGCCTTCTATGCTGATTCACAGCTACTTTCCTTTATTTTCTATGCAGGAAACGCCAACAACATACTACTTACAAGTTCTTGTCAGTAGCATATTTCACATAATTATCAGCGACAAACTGTGGCCGAAACATGACACTGTTATCAATATTTTATCACCACGTCCCATATCGAATAAACCAGTTATGCTTTGTAATAGTTGAATCGATGGTGATTCATCAACCGAAAGATGAATTATCTGGACTAAGTGTATCTACCAATTCAACTACGCTTGTGGTGGAGCGAGTTAAATTGGCCGTTGCTCTAAGAACTTAATTTTTCGTGCTCTCTCGGGAATACCTACCAGTGTGACTAAATAAATGCGTGGTAAAAAAACTGTCAACAGTTGGATATTAGAACACCGGTTGCAAAGCGGCCACAAAGCAGCCAGCATTAAAGAATCCTTCTCCACAATCATCTATCGGGTACCAAATAAACTGCCAAAACATATAGGTACCTCATACTCCAAACAGGAGAGGCTATTGCGATTCACGTGAAACAAACAGTGCTTTGTGTACAAAAGAAGTAAGTTCAGCTAGCCACTATTACTGCCTTGACCGGCTTTCAGTGAAGACTATAAATTCCTGAATTTTTATTATTATCTATCCTAATTTTCTTCATATTCAGTTTATTGTCATATTGATGCTATTGAACTGTAATCTATTTACATCATTGATTCGATGTTATATAAACAACATTTTATGTTGTTAATAACACTAATTCATTCACTATAATTTATATATAACTGTAGAACCTGACTATAATGAAGTGATCGAAAAAAGTATTCTTTATTCAGTAACCATTCTTTTAAAATATAAATTAGTTTGATTGAGAGATGACATCAGTTAGAGAGCCAATGAAAAACCTGGGTTTACTGGACAGCTATTTCGTCCCGGTGTTTGCGACTCTTCAGTAGTAGTCAGCCACTGGAGTTCCAGCCCAAGACCTTCCGGTTAACAGGTGAGCTGATAGACAATTCAGTCACTGGGACCCGACCGAATTGCCTATGAATTCTAACTTCTGTCGATTCGCGTGATACATGACACAACTACCGGATACTGCCATCAGCGAGTAACTGTTCTCCTACCCGACATGGTGGACCTCACTGTTGACGACTTCTCTGTGAAACTCCTGCTAAGTTGCTGAGCCAAATGAGAATCAGATTAATTATCAAATATCACAATATGAATGCGCATGTTTACTATCAATCCAAAGAAAAATCTTCGTTCTTGTGAAGCGACATAACAAAATTCAGAGATGGAACCGGTTGTTCTGATCATTCAATAACCTTTCAGGCTATGAAAATCAAATTAGCATGGGTCTTTCATCTGTTCATTTGCGCTGTAAGTTACAGAAAAAACGAAGGTCAACACTTGAAATCCATATTAATTTGTTTATTAGATGTATCACACAGTCAGTGAAAAAATATTGTTTACTGGATGACGAGGTTTCGAACAAAATTTATTGTTCATAATCATCTCATCAATTATAATCACACGACTTCAAAACCTGAGCCTTATAGTTTTCTTTCTTCTCTCCTTTTCGTCGTCGTGGGGGTAGTAGAATTTTTCAGATGTCCAGCTTGACAGGTGTTGAATCATTCCTATTACACGTATTCCCTCTCAATTGATTCGACAAACAAAGCCTCAGTCACTTATCAAGCTCTCGCTCCACCCAGATGTGACATTAGATTTTAAAACTGTCATCCTATCCCATCCTATTGTATGGTTGTGTGTAACTGCATATAGTGCTATAGCTGAACTATTCTCCAGATTTCTTATCTTATTTGGGTCAACCAATCTAGATTTTGCTAAGTTTTTATGTTCAGCTAGTCTGACTGCCCTGTTCTATTAGTTTGACCTATGTATTTGACCTGACAATCATTGCAAGCAGGGTATTAGATAAACTAAATTGTTTTGTTTGAAAGGCTCCACTGGGAGGATCCTCTAACCGACAAAGCTAGTTTCTAATTGAGTTTGTGGGTTTGAATGCCAGCCACTTTTATTCCTGCCTTGTTAAGAATTCTCCGTAAGATGGTTTCCGAGGTTCCTTCCTTGCATGGAATTACTACTTATGATTTAGATTCCTTATTGTTAGTGTCGTCATTAATATTATTATTATTATTATTATTATTATTATCACTATTATTATTACCATTATTAGTGTTATTATTATTATTATCACTATCGCTACTATAATTAACCCACACATTCAAACAGATACTTGGACTTCCAATCATCCCATCCATCCTATGTCAGTAAAAATAGGATTGCTGAAATGTTTAAGTGACAGAGCACAAAAACTAGGTAGTACTAAGGAAAATCTAAGACAAGAAATGATACACATAAAAGAAGGAAATATGTAAGGAAATCTAAAAATAAAATAAATAATGATAGTAGTGATAGTTATAATAATACTAATGATAATAATATTAATGACGACATGCACGTCAAACATGCACAGGTTAATGACGACACCAACAATAAGGAATCTAAATCATAAGTAGTAATTCCATGCAAGGAAGGAACCTCGGAAACCATCTTACGGAGAATTCTTAACAAGGCAGGAATAAAAGTGGCTGGCATTCAAACCCACAAACTCAATTAGAAACTAGCTTTGTCGGTTAGAGGATCCTCCCAGTGGAGCCTTTCAAACAAAACAATTTAGTTTATCTAATACCCTGCTTGCAATGATTGTCAGGTCAAATACATAGGTCAAACTAATAGAACAGGGCAGTCAGACTAGCTGAACATAAAAACTTAGCAAAATCTAGATTGGTTGACCCAAATAAGATAAGAAATCTGGAGAATAGTTCAGCTATAGCACTATATGCAGTTACACACAACCATACAATAGGATGGGATAGGATGACAGTTTTAAAATCTAATGTCACATCTGGGTGGAGCGAGAGCTTGATAAGTGACTGAGGCTTTGTTTGTCGAATCAATTGAGAGGGAATACGTGTAATAGGAATGATTCAACACCTGTCAAGCTGGACATCTGAAAAATTCTACTACCCCCACGACGACGAAAAGGAGAGAAGAAAGAAAACTATAAGGCTCAGGTTTTGAAGTCGTGTGATTATAATTGATGAGATGATTATGAACAATAAATTTTGTTCGAAACCTCGTCATCCAGTAAACAATATTTTTTCACTGACTGTGTGATACATGTAATAAACAAACTAATATGGAATTAATATAAGAATAAAACTTGTGCACTGTGGTAGAGTGTAATTCCATTATGGGTAAATATTTTTTGATAAAGTCTCACAGTCAAATGAACTGTAGTCAAGATTTGACAGAATAGTTCTAAAATATTTGGGCGCCGAGTGAGAAGTAGACATTTGTAAAAAATTATATTTGTATAATCTCAGCGATATTGAAATGAGTAATTCCAACGTTTCGTTCGGCAATCTGGTCCGAACTTCTTCAGGGAAATTAATCGAAATTAACATAACAGAGGTTTATATATAAAAGGAACATCTCTTATTTTTAAAAACACTTTGTCCAATCATGAGTCATAAAACAGGCATCAACATGTACAATAAACAAAATTGTATGAGTTGTGATCAAAATTTGACCTCAGACTTACAAATATTGATCTACCTTTGTTAAACACTTTAAACACAGTGTGTATGTGTGCGGATAAACAGTTGTAAAACGATGTCTTAACGTCTCCATAAGTAGATATAGACAGTCAGGAACTTTGATCAAGTATTATTAGTTAGTGATACATATCCATTCTTATTTATTAATCAGGATTTCCTATGCGTCAGCTAACATCACACCTTCATGTCTGTTCAAACTGTTAGTATCTAGAATCTTATGATTAGACGTATTTTCAAAATTATGGTGTTTAGGATTAGAGTTTAGTTGAAGCACCCTGTCAAACTCATGACTTTGTCTTCTTTCTGAAAATTGAGCTGATTTATTCGACCTACTGGAGTTGTCAGTTGACTGGACAGCTACGGATTTAGGGTACGCATTCTGTTGCAGACAACGGAGAGTGGAAACACGATGATTGTGCCAATTACATAGTTTCTTTGTTAATTTAATTCGATTGCAAAATAAATCAAATGAACTGTAGTCAAGATTTGACAGAATAGTTCTAAAAGATTTGGGCGCCGAGTGAGAAGTAGACATTTGTAAAAAATTATATTTGTATAATCTCAGCGATATTGAAATGAGTAATTCCAACGTTTCGTTCGGCAATCTGGTCCGAACTTCTTCAGGGAAATTAATCGAAATTAACATAACAGAGGTTTATATATAAAAGGAACATCTCTTATTTTTAAAAACACTTTGTCCAATCATGAGTCATAAAACAGGCATCAACATGTACAATAAACAAAATTGTATGAGTTGTGATCAAAATTTGACCTCAGACTTACAAATATTGATCTACCTTTGTTAAACACTTTAAACACAGTGTGTATGTGTGCGGATAAACAGTTGTAAAACAATGTCTTAACGTCTCCATAAGTAGATATAGACAGTCAGGAACTTTGATCAAGTATTATTAGTTAGTGATACATATCCATTCTTATTTATTAATCAGGATTTCCTATGCGTCAGCTAACATCACACCTTCATGTCTGTTCAAACTGTTAGTATCTAGAATCTTATGATTAGACGTATTTTCAAAATTATGGTGTTTAGGATTAGAGTTTAGTTGAAGCACCCTGTCAAACTCATGACTTTGTCTTCTTTCTGAAAATTGAGCTGATTTATTCGACCTACTGGAGTTGTCAGTTGACTGGACAGCTACGGATTTAGGGTACGCATTCTGTTGCAGACAACGGAGAGTGGAAACACGATGATTGTGCCAATTACATAGTTTCTTTGTTAATTTAATTCGATTGCAAAATAAATCAAATGAACTGTAGTCAAGATTTGACAGAATAGTTCTAAAAGATTTGGGCGCCGAGTGAGAAGTAGACATTTGTAAAAAATTATATTTGTATAATCTCAGCGATATTGAAATGAGTAATTCCAACGTTTCGTTCGGCAATCTGGTCCGAACTTCTTCAGGGAAATTAATCGAAATTAACATAACAGAGGTTTATATATAAAAGGAACATCTCTTATTTTTAAAAACACTTTGTCCAATCATGAGTCATAAAACAGGCATCAACATGTACAATAAACAAAATTGTATGAGTTGTGATCAAAATTTGACCTCAGACTTACAAATATTGATCTACCTTTGTTAAACACTTTAAACACAGTGTGTATGTGTGCGGATAAACAGTTGTAAAACGATGTCTTAACGTCTCCATAAGTAGATATAGACAGTCAGGAACTTTGATCAAGTAT